TTATTATAGGAGCATGTTTAAATATGAAAATTCTACAGAATAAAATGACCTCATTGTGTACCCACAACAGAGCTTCAATCAATGTCAACTAATGCCACTATTTTTCTATCTCCACCCACTTCCATATCATTTTAAAGCAAATTCCAGATATATGATTTTATCTATCAATACACGTCAGTATGTTTCTCTGAAAAATAAAGCTCTCAAATAAAATAGCTATATTTTATAGTTTATTTATATGAATCAGGATCCAGATGAAGTACATACATTGCTTTTTAAAAAATAGCTTTTTTAAATTTTGTTTTTTGTTTTTGAGACAGGATCTCACTCTGTTGCCTAGGCTGGAGTGCAGTGGTACGATCGCAGCTCACTGTAGCCTCAACCTCTCCTCCCTCCCGAGCAGCTGGGACTACAGGCTTGTGCCACCATGCCCAGCTAATTTTTTGTAAAGATGGGGTCTTGCCATGTTGCCCAGGCTGGTGTTGAACTCAGAGGCTCAAGCAATCCACTTGCCTGAGCTTCCCAAATTTCTAGAATTAGAGGCAAGAGACACAGCACCCAGCTGAAACGTCTCTTGACTCTCCTTTAAACTACAGACTCACAAGTTCTTCATTTTCTTTTGGAATTTAGAGGATTAATCAGATTCGGGATTAATTGTTTTTGACAATACAAACCTATGAATGGGGATTTGTTTCTTCATTTAGAAGCTTCTAATTGATCCTTTCCCAGGAGAAATATATGCCATGTAGAGGAACTCTTACTGCTGGAGTAGTCACCCTGTAAGACAGAAAAATCAGTCTTCTTTCGATATTTATGTGACAAAAGGTGCTTCACAAATATGGCGAAGACACTGAAGAAAGTGAGAGCAATTTTCAGGTGCAGATAATGGGAATGACATATTTGACAGTAAGTAGCATTCATTTATAAAATGTTCCTGGCCAACTGAGAATCGGGAAAAAATATGTAATCATTATAACCAGTTGTATCCTAATACTTCTGAGGAAAAATAAAAATTCCTATGATAGCAGGTTATAGGGAGATGGTTACAACAGAACACGGCAGAAATGATCTCAAAGCCATACTCATAAACTTTTCATCATGGGACAGCAAGGCAGATAGACTTGAAAATTAATTAATCAGAAAGGCTCTTCCTGTTTTCAAAGCAGACAGAGCAAATTGCTGATGTGAAACAATAATTAGTCCTCCTTACCAGGAAAAAAATAAATAAATACACTAACAAAACAAACAAAGACCCTGAAATACAGGACAGTAGAGTTTAAACTTATAAATCTATAGCCTATAAGAAGTTCAGCGGTGCAAGATTACTGTTATACAGGGGTAGTCAGGATGAATATTACAGAGGTGAGGAGATAACGGATGTGCTTCAAGGCATTGTTAGAATGGAAATAGAAATAAATGAATAAGTGGAGTTTACATAAAATATGCATTGTATGAACAAAAATGAGTAGCTAGGAATGAGTATAATATGCTCAAGGAATAGCTGTAGATCAACATTAGAAAATATGCACAATGATCAATTGCATGAATAAATGGCAAACCACGGCCAGGCATGGAGGCTCACACCTGTAATCCCAGCACTTTGGGAGGCCGAGGCTGTCGGATCATGAGGTCGGGAAATCAAGACTATCCTGGCTAACACGGTGAAACCCCATCTCTACTAAAAATACAAAAAATTATCCAGGCGTTGGTGGCACACGCCTGTAGTCCCAGCTATTCGGGAGAATCTCTTGAATCCAGGATGTGGAGGTTTCAGTGAGCTGAGATGACGCCACTGCATTCTAGTCTGAGCCACAGAGCAAGACACTGTCTCAAAACAATAACAACAAAAACAAACAAACAAAAACAAAAAACCAAAAACCCCACATACTTCTGGAGTGAGGACTCAGACTATCCTGGTTCTTGGTCTACTTTAGCCATGAGGCACCTTAGATAAGCTATTTAATTTCTTTGGGTTTGTGTTTCTTTACCTATGAAATGAGAAGATTAGACTGGCTTGAAATTCTCTGATTTCTGGGATAAGTAAACTTTTTTGAATGTTGAACATGCTAATTTCTCATTAAGGTCAATACCAAACCTAACAAAAGAAGAGCCTGCCATCTGCTATCATAATCATTTTTTAAAGAACGTGTATTTAAAAGTAGAAATGGAAGTGAAGGCAGGAACTGGTCTCAGATGGTCTCAGAAATTGTGTGTGTGTGTGTGTGTGTGTGTGTGTGGTGTGTATGGAGTGTCTGTGTGTGTGTGAGATAATTTAAACTAACCACACTGCTCTTATTGATTTTTTTTAAAATTTTGATATAGATTGCTAAAAACTTCACCACAGAGTCTGCCTAATCAGCATTTGGGAACCATAGACTAGCTGATATTTAAGGGCCCTTCCTTTTATGACATTCAGAGAACTCATAATAACTAGGATAAATTCTCCATTATACTCTGCCTCTTGCCTTTGAGCAAGCTAGTTAACACTCCAGTGCATTATCTACCCCTTACAGGTACAGCATATTACGGGGTCTGATGTCAGAACGATTATTTCAGGGGATACAGATAGGTATGCCAGAAAAAAAAGTCATGCTGGAAGCCAGGAGAGTTGTCATCCAATCCACATTTTGTCATTCCTAACTAGATAAATTTGTTCATGTTATGAAACTTCTTAAAAGAATTGTCTGAAAGTATGAGATTACCATACTGCCTTACCTCTCTCATCGGGTTGTTGTAAGGTAAATAATAACACATTTTCATTTTAAAAAAATAAACTCTAAAACTAAATTATTAATAAAAAAATACTAATATGTGAAATTCCCCAAATAAACATAAATTTACTAATTCAGAGCAGGTTGTGGAACTATGATTTTAATCATTGAAATGGCTCTCCAAGAACTAAAATACAAGAATTAGAATCCTGAGGATGGTATTCCTTTTTTCTGAATCTCTAGAAATAAGATGTATATAAATTACCTTAAGTAGCTCCTATTGTTACAAAATTTTAGGATGACAATGTAATCAAAAGTGTCAGCCACCAGACACATCATTCTTTCCCTACACATTTGAAATTTTATCTGCAGTTTCGCATTGACAAAATGTTGAGAGTCACTAGAATTTAAGTTCACCAGTGAATAAAAGTAAGCATAAGTGGAAATTAGGACTTCGATGAAGGTGCCCAAGAAGGAATGATAAAATGTAGTAACTGCCTTCCAAATGAAAAGAAGTTTGCCTTTTCTGGGTTGGAGAACACTAATTATCAAAGATTTGGCAGAAGTCTACTATTCCTAATTGCATGAAATTAGCAAATTAACATTTCTGAAAATGGCAGTGATTACAACTGTACAGTGTCATTAAACAACCTCCTACAAGGTAACTGTTCTGGTATTTTACTATTCATCACTGAAAACACTTAACTCTTGTTATTTTGATGGGAACTGTGTCTATAAAAGTTATACATTTATGTAACATATTTACGTAAGTTCAGGATTACCTGTATTTTGATACTTAAATTTATGAAGATAGGTGGTCACTGAATTAAGAACACGATTCTACCCGCAACCCCAACTATCGATGAAGTAGTGATATTGTAAAGAAAAAATTATTTAGAAAAGACTCAGAAATAGGTAGCTTCAGGTATGTTTTCTGCAATTTTCATGGAAGAAATGAAGACAGTCAAAATATGGCTACCATGGTGGTTTACAAGTATGTTTACATAAAACTCAAAATTGAAAAGTGATTTTTTCAACATAGCAGTTATTATACCCTGTTGTAATTTTATTTTACTTGAAAATGGTAAACTGAATTATATTTTTATGAAGTCATGGGCAATATCTGCTTTGGTCTTGCTATATTCCCAGGATCTAATAAATTTAGGCTGCCCAGGAGGTATTCAATAAACGCTTGCTGTATTGATGAAAAAATAACCTTCAGTACTTCCAGTTTCAGATATGATGGAGAGATTGCTTCTACCAAAGGTTAAAAAATATTTCTGATTTATGTCATGCAGTCTTAAAATACAGAAATGATCACATTAATTTGAGTTAATAGAACATCAAATTTTTACTTAATGTCCTACTTCAATATGAAACAATGGAAAAATGAAAAGCAAACGGCCTTTTAAAATATTTTTCTCCGTTATGATTCACAATGATTTATTCAAAATAATTGCCTTTTGTATAACTCTGGTTCATCCTTATATGACTAGCTGAATGACTATTAAAATATTTCTTAATACCATGGACCATTTGATTATTCAATGAATTTACATTTGCAACCTGAAAACAATAATTCAGTCAGTTAGACCAAAATCTAAAGTCCAAAAGTAATGCTTCATAAAATTAATTTAAGATATGTCATACTACCAAATTTATTTCATTCTAAGTAGCCATATATCTATTGGTCATAAAATATCAACTGAAATTAACATTATTTTGGCATTCTAATGAAAACTAAAAGAACCATTATCCCAAAATGTTGGATAAATTTTCAAGATCCTGCCACAAGTTGATTTGATTATACATTTATATAATTTTAACTGTAGATCTGTGACAGGGTTAGGTTTATCAAAAAGATCTTTATTACTGATGATTTGGCTACAGTAATTATTGACACGTTATTTATGTAAAAATGTATAGATTTACAAATCACTTATGCTGACTACTTATCAAAATAACTACTTTTCAATACAACAAGAAAGAGGTAAAATATATAGATTTGAGCCACACCCTAATGAAACACAAATGTTCCCCTAATGCAGAGGAGTAATTCCGTAAGGAAAATATCATGTTGAGTTTATTATTAAATACAAAAAGTCATTTGACTTGGTTGCAAAAGATAAAGCAAAAATTTTACCCTACAATAAATGCAATTCTTAGAAGAAGAATTGTTGTTGTTAATATGATCATCACAACATTAATTTTTTGGTAAATATATACTGTGTGATTCTGTAGCCATGTGTCCCTTCGACTCACCACGCACTCCTATTACTCTTATGCCAGGTCTGGACAAAGTGCCAAAGGATCTTCCCCCTGACACAACTCTGCTAGACCTGCAAAACAACAAAATAACTGAAATCAAAGATGGAGACTTTAAGAACCTGAAGAACCTTCACGTAAGAACTATTTATTTTTAAATCACAATAAGATTGGACTCAAGGTATTTTTCAAAGCACCACCTAGATAAGGCCAAGAGTACTATGCACCAACAAAGAAGCACATTAGTGTTTATTAACCTCACATTTTTAGCAGTGGTAGGGAAGCAAAGCATCATATTCATTAGCCACTAACAATTTACCCAGCCTTTTATACATATACCCCATATATCTTAGGTATTTTATTCATAAAAATACTTTAGATCTTAATTCTCTCTCACGTTTTCGGGAATAAAAATTGTCTTTCAAATTAAATTGTATTTTAATAGTGGAACAAAACACAAAATGGATTGATCCTAGTATTATTTTATTTCTTTGTTTCTTTTGTCTGTTTCCATGCATTTTCTAAGAGAGGTATGAATGATGTTCTAAAATCTCAAAGATTGGAATCAAGTGAAAAAAAGATAATTATTCATATTTTATTTAGTAAAATATAATTCTGTCTTCATATGTATGTTTCTTGCTTTATAGTTAGGATTATGCATGCTGTGTCTTTATCTGTATGTTTATTTTAGTTTTCTCTTACCTCTCTACCCTATCATAATATTCAGTCTATCAGTCAGGATTTCATTAGAAAAGAGAAGCCACTCACAAAGGGGTTTCATGGAGGAGATGTTATTGAAACCTCTATTTGCAAAGGGGCGTGGGAACCCAACAAGGCACTGTGAGGCACCCAGTCCCACAAAGATCTAGAAGAATTTGAGGGTCTCAGAGCCATGGGAGAGGTGGGGAGCTATAGTTTCACTTCTTAATTTCCTGCCTGTGTCCCCTATGGTTGAATCTACTTCGGACGAAAAGACAAAGGCATTTGATTAATGCATTCCCCAGAGGTCAGCTTCCCAGGATATGAGGAAGGGCCAAAAAGTGCAAAGAATGAATATAGTGGTAGTTGGGAGAGGATACACTATACAAGGGAAATGACCAACCCAATAAAATAGAGATAAGCCTTGCTAAGACAACCTTCTGTAAGAGTAAATGCATCGTTTATTCACATCGAACACCAGAATCACCATAAAATGCATTTTCTCACCGAGCTCTCTATCTGTGGGATGAATGTGACATGGTCTTCCCTCAAAACATGAGGGCACATGAAATATAACTAAACCAGACCTCAATGTCCAAAATAGATACTCTAGAAATCTCACCGTGTCTACTTCCATTCTGGTAGACCACTCTGAAGTACTGAGTCTGGTTCTTGGCATTTTAAGAAATGCATTAAAGAACATCTAGAGAAGGACGACCATGGAGATAAAGAATCTAGAAATTAGGTCTCACAGGCACAGTGGATGGAGAGGTGGATGTCTAAACTGAGTGTGGAGGGTCACTAATGGCACATTTGAAGGGCCATGTTGAACAAAAATGATTGTATTTACTTGCTTCAACTGCAAGATGACAGCATCGTCCTAGTGAGCAGAAATTTTAGAGAAGCAGATTTTTATTCAACATTAAAAATAGAATTTAAAGAATCAGAATTTTCAGAAAATAGAGAGACTTACCTAATGATTTTTTACCTGCCTGTGAAGATTAGAGTTCACAGCTTCATATAATGAATGTCATAGGAATACATTCTTAATGTTGGGAACATAGACATACCAAACTGTAATTTCATATCTAGTTATTTATTTTAGTCATTACAGAAGATAATTGAGGAGGATATATCATGAGAATAGGCACTACTTAGTAAAGTATAAATATAAATCATCTGATATACATAAGCATAAAAAATATAGATACAAGGGAAATAACATAATATAAAATAGAATAAACTTGTCATAATTATTACAGTTAGTATAATGAAGATAGCATTTAGTACAAACTTTCCAACAACCAAGATGGGAAAAGCAGTTAACATTTAGCCATTAGAAAAAAATATACCAGATTTTTTTAAAGGAAGAAAATTTTTTGTTTCTAAAATTTTAAGACTCTACAAGGAATCATTTAAAAAATGCAGAAAGGCTGGGCACAGTGGCTCACACCTGTAATCCCAGCACTTTGGGAGGCCAAGGTGGGCGGATCACAAGGTCAAGAGATCAAGACCATCCTGGCCAACTTGGTGAAACCCCGTCTCCACTAAAAATAAAAAATTAGCTGGGCATGGTGGCGCGCTCTTGTATTCCAAGCTACTCGGGAGTCCGAGGCAGGAGAATCACTTGAATCCGGGAGGCGGAGGTTGCAGTGAGTCAAGATCGCGCCACTGCACTCCAGCCTGGACGACAGAGTGAGACTTCATCTCA